ATTGTGTATGAAAGCCATTGCTGCAGCACACCTCCGACTTTCATAACCATACTTGAACCCAGTGAGTTTAGTAAGGAAGTAGGAGTTGCTTTAATTTGTTTCTTACTTTAAAATGCACTTTGTATATGTTAAACTTTTTTCTTTCTTTTTAATTCAGACTTCAAAGAAAATGGATCGGCAGCCAAGTCTTTGCTCTCAGCTCTCTGTGATGCAGATGAGAAACAGTATGGCTAGCTCAAGTGACAGTGAGGATGGTTTGCAGCAGTTTCTTCGTGGGACTTCCTCTGCATCTTCTCTTCGTGAGTCTCCAAAACAAGAGATACACATTTTGTGTGCAGCTTCTCTAACAATTGCAGAATTCCTATTGACTTCAGTGCAAGCAGAACAGGAGCACTTTGTGTATTACTTTTTTTTTGTTAAGCAGCTTTTTGATCAAGCTATAGGAAAGTTATGAGACGGTGCATATTGATTTTTGAATGGTAGCTACTGACACCACAAGGCTGTAATAAAGTTTTGAGATATCTAATACCAGTTTATGAGAAAGTGATGATAATACATACATTGGTCCAATATTGGATCAGTACTGATATAAAGAAATTTGGCTATATTGGAAATCAGCCCAATGCAAGCACGCAGGCAGCAAGGAGCAGAACCCGGCAGTGTGGAGAGTTGCGTGCAGCTTGTAAGTCCATTGTGAAAGGGGAGAGGGGAGGGAAGGGGCCAGGGGGGCAGATCAATGCCCCCCGTGTTAAGGTGGGGGACAGATGCAGGCACTGCCCAGCCGGGGCAGGGCAGGACAGGATGAAGCCGTGGCGTGGTGGGGTGGCTTCTGCTGCTCCTTGCACCCTGAGAAGGGGGAGCATGTGCCCCTGGATTTGGGCAGGGCAGGTGGGCTGGAGTTGGGGCTGCACTGGGCTTTTCTTGGTGGAGACTGGGCTCAGCGTGGGGGCTATGGAGAGGGCTGCAGCCACCCCAGATTTTGCTGTAGCCCCACCACCAGTGCTGTTGTGTGACCAGCACAGCCCCAGCTCTTCCTGGCGTGCTCAACGAGCTTTAGATAAAGCTCCCCCACCACCATTTTGAAGCATGGGAGTACTGATACACGAGACACAGGAGGCTCCTGAAGCCCAGTAATTGCCATGTTCCAGCAGACTCTATTTAATCGAGTTTGCTCTGACACACGGGAATTACAGCATGTCAGAGCAGTCTCTGCTCATGTATAGGCACCCTTTGGTATTAGTTGCAAGCCAGATTTATTTTTCTTTATATCCCTTTTTATATATCTTCTAGAAAGATCTGATTGTTGGCACTGACCTACAGTAATGTCTGAATTCTCTCTTGTGTCACTACTTCTCCAGTTTAAGAAAGAAATTGCATGATTGTATTTGGGCAGTTGGGAGAAGGTCATGAGCAGTTAGCTAAAACCAAAATTCTCTTGCAGAACTAACTGCAAAATGCTTAGACCAGTATTTCTGCTTTGGCAGAAACCAATCTAAATGGTCATCTATTTCAGAAATAATTGTATTATTCTGTATAAGGTGAACTGGTGTATAACACTACTTGGTAAAGCCCTCTTATCTGTTGTACTACTGCTATTCAATATAATTTCTTCCAACAATTCATTCTTTTTTGCTTATTGATTAACATGGTGCCTGAGCTTCCCAGAGTGATAGAAGGGGATTAGTTGTTTCATTGATCGGCAGTGCTTCCAGGGAATTAAACTCTTTGCCTGGAGTAGTTGTGCAATCTGTTACTCCTAAATAACATGTTCTTATGACACAGTTCCACTGTTGGAAATTAGCACTGCCTGAAGGCTAGTTTGATAGAGAACCACAGTTGAATCTGCAGGTTTCAAAAACAACATGAACAAAATTGTGGCCATTCAGCTTCCCACTGTTACATTTTAAATAGCCATATAGCAGATTCTGTGTGTGAAGTATAATCAATAAGTGTTGGTTTTGTGTTTTTTACTCCATTGGACATGCATGTTAAGGTATACTTCACCAATATTTTCAGTTCCTTTCAGTCTGAAGCATGTTTTCTAAGTAAAACACAAAAACAAAACAAAACCCAGAATATATGGAGAAGTGGAGCAGGAAAAATATCTTCTGCCTTAGGAGACAGCAATAAAAGAGAGTTTCTTTGAATACGGCTCTGCATAAATTATAACTCATTATTATGTGACAAGTTCTTGTGTGGGCTAAAGCTTCCCAGTACAAAGATTTGTATTATATTTGATTATTACAATGTAGAAAAATCCTACTCTTCCAAGTACTTTATACTCACAAAAATTGAAATTTCTTCTTTTCATGGAGTTAAATGTATTTTTCTTTAGATTATAGCTTTCCTGTGGTATTCCAAAATACAAATTCTTCAATTAATTTCTAAAAAAATGTGTTTATGGGTATTTTCCTAGTGTTTTAACAGAAAGGAGGAAAACATACTTATTACTAGAACAACTTAATAATAATAATATAACTACTTATTAATAGAACTGTGTTTTTGAATTTAATTAACTAAAATAAACCCTAACTGTTTGCTCTTATGTTAAGGAAATAACCAACGAGAGTTCTATAATGCTTTTGGAGTGGGTCGTATGCAGCATGATGCTTTCTGTTGATAAGATCATATATTAACTCAACAGCCTCAAAAAGGTATTAAAGTGGGGTTTGTTCATGATGCGTTCATGCTTGGACTTGAACTATATGATCCATCTACGCACAACTTACTAGTAAAGGAATATTTAATGTTTCTTTTTTTCAAAATATAAGTTAAGTACAAAAAAATTGTGTTGGAGCAGACATGCAATTTCAGCTAATTTTATCTTTTAATGTGTTTAGTACTACAAAATAAGCATGCTGATGGTTAAAAATAATTATTATCCAGGGTGCTGTAGTCTCCGTTGTCTCGTATCCGGTTTAATTAATTCAAGCACTTTGCTCATTTCTCTGAATTCTGTATTTGCAACTTTCTAAACTAAAACAGAACGTAGAAGGATTTATTTTTGGTAATGCTTTCATTGGTGTTACCATAGTGTGTGCGCTTTTATATGCAGTACCCAGAATGTGGTTAAAAAGCGGGATAGGGTTTCACAGGAAATGCCTTTTTAATAGGCATTTGAACTTTAGGACCTGGAGACAGTGCAAGAGACTAGTGTATGGGAGGCCCAGGTTCAGGGCTGAGCCAAGGCTCTTGCACATCTGGCTAACAAAGGCTAAGAGCATGCCCTGGAGATTTTCCAGTGTTTGGAGAAAGCAAAGACGTTCACTGGGGCCAAACAATTTTACAGTATTAAGACAGATTCCGAACCCTGTTCTGCAGGCTCGTGCCTTCACATTTCTAAGGTAAAACATCTCAGTCTTTGCTCATATTAGCCCTAGAATTATCAGTAATTTCCTTAATATGATGGTGATCCCCCTAAGGAATTTGTTCATCTAGCTGAAACAATGGAGCATTATCTTGGATAATCTATACTTGTATAAGCAGTTAAAAAAAAAAAAAAGAAAAGAAATGGAAACTCTCAGCCTAAATTATCAGGTGGCCATTTTTATACATACAGTTTGCATCTGCTGTTTAGGCATTTGGATATCTAATCCACTACCATACCCACAGATTTTGGATTTAGAAATCTACACGAACTAAACTGCACCCCAAAACTTTACCGGTTAAACTAAGTATATGAAAGCAGCCTTTAATAAGCCTCATGTTTAATAAAATACATAATGATCTCTGCATGACAGCTAATTAAGTAGTTTGTAAATACTGTTAAAATCATAAACATTTGCATAAAAATGTGTAATATTTAATGCACTAAAACCACTAATTAATACCTATCAGTGTTTGCACGAGTGTAACTGTAAATCTGAACATTGTATTACAAAAACATTATACTTGGAATGCAAGCTCCTCTGGAGGAGAGAATACTTCTTTGTTCTTTGTACAATACGTAGCACCAGGGGGTTCAGGACCATGACAAGAGCTCACTGGTGATATGGTAGTAAAAGTAATTGAGTTTTATTGCATACGTGATCGGTCAAAGTAATTTTTATACCAAGAATGTCACTTCTAACTGTATGTTACAACTGCAAGGATTTCTGAAGATAAATATTTTTATTCTCAACGTATACCGAGATGGCCTCTGGCTGTCATGACTGTGTGCTGCTTGCCATTTTTCTTTTAGGATTGTATTTTCGTCTCTAAAAGATTTTCTTACTGTTTTCAGTCATCATATGCAAGCTGTTTATATACTTGTACTATCCTGAGGCCTAAACCAGTTGTGAGTGCAGGGCTAAACTTTTAGAGAGGGGAATCCAAAGAAGACAGGGAACTAAACACAATTTTCTGAACAAATCATGGGAATAGATTCATAGATTCATAGATTAAGGGTCGGAAGGGACCTAGTAGATCTTCTAGCCCGACCCCCCGCCAGGGCGGGAGAACAACAAAAAACCCCAAAAAGAGAAATGGGACTCAAACGAGTCCAGCCAGGTAGGCATCCAGCCTCTTCTTAAAGACCCCCAGGGTAGGGGCCAGCACCACTTCCCTTGGAAGTTGGTTCCAGCTCCTAGCCGCCCTAACCGTGAAGTAGTTTTTGCGGATGTCCAATCTATACCTCCTCTCCATCAGCTTGTGCCCATTACTCCTTGTTATGCCAGCGGGCGCTAGGGGAAACAGCGTCTCCCCCAAACCCTTCTGGTCCCCCCTAGTGAGTCTATAGACAGTCACCAGGTCCCCCCTTAGCCTTCTCTTGTGGAGGCTGAATAGGTTCAGGTCCCGCAGTCTCTCACTGTAGGGTCTGCCCTGTTGTCCCCGGATCATGCGGGTGGCCCTCCTCTGGACCCTCTCCATATTGTCCACATCCCTCTTGAAATGGGGCGCACAGAACTGGACACAATACTCCAGCTGTGGCCTGACCAGCGTCGCGTAGAGGGGGAGGATCACCTCCTTGGCTCTACTCGAGATGCACCTGTGGATGCACGACAAGGTCCGGTTAGCCCTGCCAACCATGACCTCGCATTGTCGGCCCATGTTCATCTTGGAGTCAATAATAGCCCTAGGTGACTAATTTTAAAGGGAATTTTTTGATTAAATCTCCAGGGTGAAAATTTCACTGTACAATAAATGGTCATATAGGTGAAACCTTGAAGTTTTGTTTTGTTTTTCTGGACAAAACAATTGGGTACGTCTGATTGTGTATTCTGCTTTAAGAGTTTTGTGTGCTCTGTTTTAAAAAGCATTATGAATTGTTGTTTTGCCAGAAGACTCTTGGAGCACTGAAACCATTTCAGTTATTGGCTATAGGGCCAAAGTTGTTAATGCCCCTTGTCTTTTTATTGCAGTTGTTTAGCTACTGAATGTTATCCTACCATTTAGTGTATTTTATCTCATGATCTTTTAAGAAGTGAAGCTATGACCATTTACTCCAGCTGAGATCTCTCCCAGTGAATTTAAGAATTTTGTTATGACTGCTGGTAATAGATCCAATACTGTTTTGGGATTTATTCCTTCAACCCAACCATTATTTTTTCAGGCAAATTACTGAATATTACAGTACTGCCAAGATCCCAGTCTTATATGTCTTAGTCAGGCAAGACTTCTATTAAACTCAAAGGGAGTTTTCCCTAAGACTAGATTGAAACTTTTGGTCCTTAAAGGTGATAATAATTCATATCTCCTTTTGGTGCTTCATTTCTAGAAGACTGAGTACCAAAGTCAAATGCATTAAATTTCCGTGAGAAAATACCCAGTTCCTGGTACAGTTGGTGTTACTTTAGATTTCTTTATGTTCAGGCAGATCATCAGACCTGCCAGATTTGTTTTATCACATATATATAAAAACAGTATCTGTATTTCAGTTTAACTTTCTCTTTTCTTTGAAATTGCTGCAGGCCGAGCATCTCCCTACATGAGAACTTCAGCAAAAATGAAACCAATAGAAGAAAGTATTGAAGATGATGTCTTCGAAGCTTCATCTTCTACTAAGTCTGAAGTCCAATGACTGCCTTAAACAGATATGGCCTCAAACAAGCAGTAGGCTTTGTACTTATAGCCAAAGGAAGAAGCTTATTTTGATGGGATTATAAAAGCAGTCAGTACCTATTTGTTTTCAGAAAAGATACCATCCCATACATGTCAGTGATTGCCAGACAAAAACATTAGTTTTGTTTTTTTCTTTCTAAATAAAAAAGAAGAAAAGCTTGTATGAATTTTGTTTTCACTAATTGGGCATGGTTTTTGAATCGTTGCTTTTTTTGCTTTGGCTCTCTGCCATGTTAAATTCAGCTTTAAACAATGGACTGTTCCAAAATGTTATAGCCTTACGCAGTCCACTTTCCAAAAGCATGCAGTTTCCATTTTCAAAGCTTCTTAGCCTAATGTAAATTTAAAAGTCAACAGAAAATTTGATATTTTAGAATTTTACCCAAGTTATTTGTATCTAAAACCATTTGTATTAATACTATAGTCTCAAAATAAGACATTTACTGCTATTACTGTCTGTAAGGGGATACATGAGAAACATGTTTAAAAAACTTCTTTAAGTTGGATACTTTAAAAGTTGGGAAAAATAAGAATGAAATTTGCCTTTGCAACCTTAATTCAGCTGCTTCCTATTCATGCATTATGATAAACTAGAAAATTTTCTGCCCTGGGCAGCTGTAGTGACTGGATCATCAGTAAGAGCTGCCATTTTTGCCCCCTCTTGAAGATGGTGCCCAGAGCTGGTGCCTCACTCACCCATTGCTACTTACACTATTGCAGTTATGTTGTCTGAAAGAAATAGCATATGATCTGTAAACTGAAGAGCCCAGAAGAATGGTCATTTCTTGCCATGTCTCAAGTCTTTAGTTCAAAGTATAGCAGCAGTAAGGCTTCTGAAAGAAAAGGTCAAAACAAAAAAAGAATGTTTTAATGTGGGCATTTTCTCCTAGTCTGATTTTTTTTTAAATGGCCAGAGTGTTTTGGATGACATTTTCCAAATAAATGTTCCTGGAGCTAATACCTGTAGCTGAAATTTGGCAAAGTTACAGGTAAACTGAAAATAGATTTTAATGGGATATATTGGGCAAATGTTTAATAACAGGTTGCACTATCGTTGCCAATGATATAGATAAATACATAATATCTGTCATTTATGTTCTTTTTAAATTTAATAAAAGTTACCAATGATATATACTATAATTTAATTTAACAATTTAAGAGTCAGAATATGGAGATTACTACATTTACAGAAAATGAGATTCTATCTAAGAATTGGTGTTTGACTTAAAACACAAAGTTCTTTGTATGTTTTAGTACTATATTTATCACACTACACTTAACTGTGAAGTTAACTCTGGCATGGTGTCCTTAAATCACCCTGTGACCGTGGTATGTGGTTAGGATGACCATAAAGAAATCCAGGACATCTGGGACACCCCCGCCACCCCCACAAGTCAGAGGCACTTGCTGCAGGCAGTGGCAGAGATCAGCGGGCAGGGCTGCAGGTGCAGTTCACCGGGGAGGTGGAGCTGCCTGGCATACTGTGCTGTTCCCCCTGCCTGCCAGACTGCGCCCCGTACCTCTGCAATTCTGAGACACTCATTTTAATTTTCACATTCAAAATCTGGGTCTGTCCCAGGCAAACCATGACACATGTTCACCCTATATAAAATCTATTTATATATGATTCTAAAGCACTCGCAATACCAAAGTACAGTCCTTGGTGACTAGATACATTTTGGCTGTCATTCTGAATATTCTTGCATTTGTGGAGTGAAATCCCATTTTTAAGATTACATAATGTGACCTGTGGCTTGTTTGTTCTGGCCTTGTTAAAATTGTCTCACTGATGGGAGCCATGGTTCCTAGTATATGTAAATAGACATTAAATATTTTTGACACCTCGCTTCATGTACACAGTAGATCATACTGGCTTTTTGGGGGCTTATGTAGTTTACCATGTAAATTCACAGTTTGTGTTTTATTAAAAAAACAAACAACTTATTTGCAGACAGTAAGATCTCCTTCAGGAGTCATTGCCAGCTCTTGTGTAAGTTCCTCAGTAAAAAGTTTTTAAAGATATGGGTCTGCGAACTCACAGTGGCTTCTCAGATCAGTTATCAGTATGGGGTAATTCTAACATGATTTAATATTTAAGATGCATGTTTTTTAAAAAAATCCTTAAAAGTAGACTATATAGTCAGTAGCTGATTGTCAGGCAACTAGTCAGCCTTACCGTTATAGAGAAAGCACTATAGATGAAAGTTCTATTACTATATGCAATATTTTATTTTCTAAATAATAAAATGAGTGAATTAATAAACAAATTTGTATCTTTATAACTTACAACTAAGCAAACTTTAGGTGGGGGATTAAGACTTTTTGATAGCCAGCTTCTTTAATAAAGACAAAAAATTTCAGCCAAGGGTGATATATTTTTTATCAATAGGAATTTTTAAAAGCAAAGATTGTATGAAAATGTTGCTTTGATTTTTTTTGTGGATAAAAATGTCATGAGGATAGTTTCAGTTATATGACTGCACTGTGAAGGCTGTATATCCAGATCCGTGACATTTTTTCATTTACGACACAGCCAGTCTTGAGTTCCCAGACAGCCATGCAACGTGCATTGAGAGATCGGGAGCTCAAATGCTCTCTGGATTCTGGGCTGGGAACAGTGTGGAGCCAACAACCATTTCCATCCCTTTGGTGGGATGTTTAACTGCTTCTAAATAGCCCCTCTAGCAAACAATGCCTTCCTCCAGTTTCCTTCAGCTAGAGGAAGGGTTCTACCACATGATCTTTAGTGGGAAAAGACTGGAAAGGGAAAGTTATCCTTTTTCCTGGGCTGCACAAGAATTGTTTTAAGCACAGGAAACTGGCCTGTCCACATTTGAATACTCCACATAGATGAACTAGCCTTCTAAGCATGGGTGACTGGTACCTCCCAAGTCTGGGGGGGATGGGGGGGGCACCAGCGGCCGATCACCGACAGGGGGGTCCCTCAGCAGCCAGTTGCTGACCCCAGAAGCACTGGAGGCAAAACCAGAAGTACCACCAGCACTTCTCTCGGCACCCCTACCCCCCAGCAGACACCAATCTCAAGGGGGGCACCAGCCAGCGCTTCTCTCGGCATCCCCACTCCCTGGCCGGTTAGGGCCAATCTTGGGGCATGTCACCTATGCTTCTAAGGCTGTGATTCTCAACCAGGTGCTATGCAGCCTTTTGAAGGATGATACAGGAAGTGTGAGGAGATAAGTGAGGTGTGAGAAGGAAAGGAGATAAGAGCAGACTTAGACTCTCCCTGCGTGGCTGCTCCCTTGCCCACATGGCCTGGCCCCTCTGCAAGGAGGCAAGTACTGTAATAAATACTGTTGTATTTGAAATGGGGCGCCAGTCAATTCACAACAGTTATGGAGGGTACCTTGAGTCTAAAAAGGTTGAGAACTGTTTGAAGGTTTTGTCCATTGGGAGGAACAGTACATTGCTAGACAGAAAGGAGAGTAAGAGGCAGGATGGTTGAGACAACCTCTGTTCTACCCTGCCCTTGTGTAATACTTCCTCCTCCAGTTCCCAGATGTTCCCTTAAACAGGAATATTAGGTGGGAGACGCGTTGTTCTGTTCAGTAAGAAACCAAGTGCAGAACCAGGAGTTATTCAAATCAGCAGAATTTCTCTATAAAATTCATTCTCCCTTCCCATTGGTTAATATTTTCTCTCTCTCTCTCTTTCTCTCTATATATATATCAGGGCTGTTCTGTGTTGCCTTGTCCATTCAGATACCAGTCCTGCAATGAACAATGCATTGGCAGACTTCTAAGTCTACCTAGAGCCCATATTACTGGCAGTGGGGCTCTGCATAGACACAGCTGTCTACCTCCACATTGCAAGGATTTAGAGGCAGAGACTATAACTTGCTGGTATCTCAGGCATCTGTTGGAATGTAATCTAATGACTGTAAAACAGTGCATGGCAGTGGCAGCTATAGCAATAATAAACACTACTCATGGTGATGAATAGCTACCCTTATCTACAAGGAAACTTTATATTTTATCACCTGGAAAGAAGTTGTTAAAAGCTTTTTAAAGTTTCCCAGTAAATAGCAAAATTATACTAAATAGCAAATTTAATCTTGCTTGTGTGTGTGTGTGTGTGTGTGTACAATTTATAAAGTGTTAACTTTGTGGTTATTGTTTGTTCAAATTGATTGCCATATAAGTTAAAATATCCTATAGACTAATTTAGTGTATTCTGAAGAATTGTCCTTTCCCAATGCTGTTACTGAAGGAAAGTAAAATTGTCCTAAAATCATTCAACTCTGATGGAGTGTTTGTGTACTTTTCAGCAGGCCAGACCATTAAGCCATTTGTATCCTGCTTTGGGCATACAGTAGTAAATCAGGCAAAGAAAGGAAGCAATCGCAACAATCTGTTTAAAATAAAATTGTTTGACATCCTTGATACTTTAAAATCATGCATCAAACATAATCTGTGCTACATGTAGTACTTCTGAACTCCTATAGCCAACAGTCATTTGCTAACTAGAGAGATATGAAAAACCAGGAAATACAGAATTTTGTTTGACACTATTTAATATGGTTTCAACACATGGAGTATGGATGTTGGCCTTTGATGTTCACAAAGGTAAAAAAAAGCAAAGAATGTGTGTCACATATTTCTGCATATTATGGAGACATGCTATTAAATTATGTTAACTAAGCTCAAAAGGCTGGGGGCAAAAAGTCATTTCTGGCTGAAAGATGCATAGTTTGGCAAACAGTATTGTATTTTGTGCTTGATTCTTAGATTTATGAAGCTTTTATCCCTGGTCCTTGCAACTGCAACTTTATTTGCATGCATAAGTGTTGGCCTGAGCAGGCCCCTAATATTAAAATACACATTACATACATGGTCTAAAATACAATGGAATAGAACCTCATGTAACTACATCCCAGTGGAAGTAAGCAGCAGGTTCTTCTAGTCCTACACCAATATTTTTAAAATTAGGCACCTACATCTCTGTTTAGTGGGGAGAAATGACCTGTTTTACAGCTGCTAAACAGTTAACAGTTTTAATTAAAATTGGTTACCTGTGGCTGTATGTATTTGGTTGTTTAAAGTTTAAACATCCTCATGTATGCATGAGTTTCAATTATATGATAGAAGCATTCAGGAAACAGCAAGTTCAGAACAAGCAAACTCCACAGTCAAAACAGCATGA